GTGAGAGCGGGGAGCGCTGGGTGCGGAGCGGGGCCTGGGGGACCCCGGAGCCCACGCGGCGTCCCGGGGACCCCCCAGCACCCACCATACGCCGCGAGGCACCGAAGCTGCACCCACCCCAGCGCCCCGGAGCCGGCGGTACCTGGCACAGCCTGGGCCGAGCTCGTCTCAGGGCGGCCCCCGCCGCCGCCGCGGGGCAGGGACGGGACTTACAAAGAGTTTGAGGAACTTGAGGATGCGTTTGTGGGTGAGGATGTAGAGTGTGTTCCCCGAGTCGGGGTCGATGACGGGCAAGCGGTGGATCTTGTTCCGGATCAGGGAGGAGACGGCGTCAAAGAGGCTGCGGGGCAGAAGGGAGAGGGGGAACCGCGGCTCGCCCGGACCCCGGCCTCGCACCCGAGGGCGCCGCCGCCAGCTGTGCCCCCTCCCCACAGCACGGGCGTACCTGGCGTTGGGGGAGATGCAGACAAGCGGCTTGAAGGAGTCTTGTAGGTAGAGCTCTGCAGGGAAAGGAGATGCTGAGGGGACCAGCAGCGCCGCGGGCAGGCGCGGTGCAGAGCCGTGGGGCTCCGGGCCACCCAGGCAGGTCCGTGGAGGGCAGGAGGCAGGCAGGAGGCAGGCGGCAGCGATCCCTCTCACCTCTCCACGTCTCTATTTTGTGCTCCTCCAGCTCATAGATCTGCACCTGGGCGCGAGGAGAGAAACCGGGATCAACCGCGGCCACGCGTGAGGCGGGCAGAGGCCAGAGCCCGGGTCCCGGCGGGGACGACCCCGCGCAGGCGCCCCGGTCCTTACCATGGGCGACTTGTAGTAGCGGTGCAGGATGTTGATGAAGTCGGTGATGGTCAGCATGCCTGAGGGGGCGGGCGGGGTGAGCGGGGTCCCGCCAGCCCCCCGCCACCCCCCGGGACCCCTCGTCGCGCTCGCTCACCCACGAAGCTTTGCTTCTTGCTGTCCCACAGCGGGGCGGCCCGCACGCCGTTGGTGACCAGCGCAAAGAAAGCCTTCTTCACCTGCGGCCGGGGACGCGGGGGACGTCACGGGGGGGACGGGGCACCCCCGGGGCAGCGGGGACGCCCTGCAGCCTACGTCCCTCCGCAAGACCGTTACACGGCGGGCGAGCAGCCCTGAGACCGACCCCCAGCCCCACACCGGCCTCCTGGCTCCAGTCGCGTCCCCGGGCTCCAGCCCAGCCCCCTGCCCACCTGCAGGGAAGTGTCGAAGACGACCAGTTTGGAGCTGGTGGGGATCAGGTCGTAGCAGCGGTGGGACTTCATGAAGGTGGTGTAGGGGCCGCGGTGGGGCTCCGCTGGGGACGGGCAGCGTGAGGCGCCTG